GAATTTCCTCCTCCTCTCTGCCATGTTCTTGCTGGGGTTTTTAGAGCTGCAGTTTTTTGTACCTATTGTGGGTATGATAAGGCAAATAATTAACAATTAGAGTCATGGCAGTATCTGAAAAATGCAACCAGAAGGGCTCCCCAAGGTGAGGGGCTGGCTCAGACACTCGCCAGGACTGGAAGCACCAGAGCAGAGAGCAGGAGCTCCTCTAAACAAATATGGTGTGTTCTTCCCTCACAAACAGCACTTCTCTGATTTAATGCCATCAGGATTATGGTTGTATAATCCTCCCTTGTGTCTGTGTGGTTCCAAGATGCTCAGTAACATTCCAATGGAATGGTTTCAAGGGAATTCAGGAGAACAACCCAGGAAAGAACCCCAGTTTTACCATTTAACCATCTGAAGAAGACAGTTTCAGCCAAAACGCTCCATTTACACCTAACATTTCACACAATCCCTGTCCTTCTCTAATAGCCTCCTGCTGGACACACTTGTCCAGAGGGACAGGGACATGTTCCAGGTTCTCCCTCAACTCTGAGGGAAAAGGACACTCTCTCCAAGCCTGCCTGCTGTGGGACATGCCCAAAGCATAGCTTATCACTTGTTTGGAAAGCAGAGGCTGCCTTGCTGATGGGTGTCTTACAGACAGCTCAGGCACTGGTGAAGCTCCTTTTCAGAAGATCATCTTTGAGCCCAGAGTTATCCCATGTCAGCATTCATCTTTGCTGTGCTGCTTGGACACCTCCCAGTGAGGTGTCTGAGCTCCAAAGCAAAGATTCAGCTCTCCAGGCTGCAGAGCAGAGCTGCATGAGCACACCCACCAGGAGAGCTCATCCCCCAGGAACACCCTGCACCTCCCACTTGCAGGACACACAAACACCCTCCATGATCCTTTTGAGGGTGGGCACAGCACAGCAGGAGCTGCAGGATTCCAAAGCCAACCTAAGGCAAAAGCAAAGAGCCTGGTGTAGCTCAAAGAAGCAAGAATTTTGTGTTCTTTGCTTTCAAAACCTGACCAAAAATTCTGCATTTATGCAGAGATCAAGTCCCCAGCTCTTCACCTTCCCAAGCAAGGGAGTCAGACCTCTAACAGCTCTCTGAATTTCATGTGCCTGGTTGCTTGACAGCTATTTCCAAAGGAAAGCCAGAATATTCTTGCTGCTGTCTGGTAACCAGGCTGATTCTCAAATATTCTCAGGCTGCTGGCACAAAGTACACACCACTCAAGGGGTGCACATCAGCACCCTGGCAATCAGTGCTGCACTTCACTCACATTGTACAAGGCTCTTCCAGTGCACACTCTTCAATCATAGGTGCCTCAGGCAATCAAAAAGAGATTTCCCAAATGGCTCTCCTAAAGTCACACACCTAAATAACACCTATGAAAGCTGAGCTTGTCCCCTACACCTGTAAAACCACTCTGATCCTTTAAAATCAAAAGGAAATAAATGCATCCAAGGAAATCTCTGCTGGAGACTCCTCATGCCTGAGCCACTGGAGCAGCACCCAGGGCTGTGAGACCACATTGTTTAAATTCTCTCCTTCCTAAGCCCAGAGCCGATTCCTGATGACAACCATGAACATTCCACACAGAATACAAGAGTGAACATCATAAAAATGTCTGTGTGATTGAATGCTTCTGGTGAAGCTTCATGGCAGGGGAATACCACGACCCAACATCATCTGCAACATGTCAGGATAGTTAAATGAATGACCAGGTGACAGGATTCCCTGTGGTGAATCCAGTTTATGGTAGATGTGAGTCTAGAGGCTCACTGGTACCACTGCTGACTGTGAATAAATATTTGATATTGTAAATGTAGGTGAACTCAGTGGGAAGAAATGATGATGTTTGGCTCTAGTTTAGAAGGTTGAATTATTTTTTATTATAACTATATTATAATACATTAATATTTTATTTAAAGAAGATACTAAAACTACAATTTTTTTAAACTGTTATATCTAATTGACTTACAACTTGTGACCCTCTTGTGAGAGTTTAGACATAAGTAGATTGGATTGGCCATCAAGCTCAATCTTCACTGGACTTTAAGTAATCACTCTAGGTAAGTAATTTTCTAAACACATTCTACATGCAAAAAACAAGGAGCAGAAATAGAAATTGTCTTCTCTTTTTATCTGTGTTCTTCCATAAAAAAATAATGAAAGAAAGGAGAATATCTCTAACAATCTGGCATTGGTCTGTGGGCACATCACCCAAGATCTCTTCCCCCAGTTCAGCCTGTGTGACTGGAGATCTTTAATGGAAGCCAGGCTGCCTCTCATGGCTGCTCACTGACAGCAGCTGATACTTTTCAGCACAGCCCTCCTCTCCAGGCTCATTAAAAACAACAGAGAACAGCCACAGACCTACAGAAAAGGCTCCCCAGTTATTGGAGGACAGACCTTCCCAGCTAAAAATGCATTTCAATGTGCACTGACATTCCCAAGGAATTCCCATACAGCTAAGGGATACGTTTGCCACTAAAGCAGGCAGCTGGAAGCATAAATCACAATTTGCAAAGCCACTAGGTCAATTCTTACACCTCACATTCCCACTGACTACTTATAGGGCCAGACTTCTGCCCAGCAGAAGGAACTCAAACACATTTTCAGGGAAATACTGCAGAGAAAGTAATATAATGTTCTTCCTGCAGAAAAGGTCTTTATCCTGAAAAAATATAAGATAGCTGCCAGAAAACAGAGCAGTACTACAGCCAGATGAATAACTGCTTCCTTTTCAGGTTTTTCTTCCAGGACACTGGTGATCACAAAATGGTTTGGGTTAGAAGGGACCTCGTTAAAGATCATCCTGTTCCACACCTTCCACTATCCCAGGTTGCTCAGAGCCATATCCAACCTCTCCTTGAGCCCTTCAGGGATCCAGGGGTAGCCACAGGTGCTCTGTAGAGCCTGTTGAAGTGGCTCACCACACTCATAAATCATCCTAATCACTGCCCATAAACAGGAAAAGTTCATTTTGCTTGAGGCAGTAAAATGAGAATTCATGCAAAGTCTCAGTAAATAATTTGTGGAGATGGAAGCTCTTCTTAGAGATTTCTGTGGCCATATTTCCAGAACTGCGCAAATCCAGGCAATTGGTAACATAAAGGAAAAAAAAGATTAAAAAAAAAAAGAAAAAAAGAAAAAAAGAAAAAACCTTCCCACTTTCCCAACACTGTTGTATGTGGGATAATCTGGAAGGCTCTAATTGAGCCTCTTTTCAGTCACCCTGCCCACAATATTTTTTTTAGCAGATTAAGCCAAAAATAAAAGTATCTTTCAATTACAGCACTGCAAGCTAAAACCACTGAGACCCTCCCCAACAGCAAGCAGTCATCCAAGAGCTTCCCTTCTGCTCAGGGGTTTTTGCCTCAATATTTTAATAATCTTTTGCAGTGAGGTGGTGTGGGGTGTTGTAGTTGCTCTCCTCTGCCTTTTGGGGAAGAGCTGGCAGCAAGGAACAGCAGGGAGGCTTTTCTTCACTGGAGCTGAGAGTGATTAACTCCCCAATTTTGTCAGGGGAATGACAGCAGCACTGAAGACACCGAGTGCAGTGCTCAGTGTCACAGGCACAGGATGCAGCTCTGCGTCAGGGAAACATCTCCCAGCTCCAGAGGTTTGCCTGGAATACAGCTCTGTCAGGCACAAACAAATGCTCTGGGAATAAAGAACCCCTGTGCTGGTGGCAGGGAGGATCTTTATCTTCACTGTGTCTCTTTAAATCCAAAAGGCAATTAGTCTAATTGAAATTATGAAAGGTCATTACTGAGTAAACACAACCCAGAACAAAGCTGGGACAAGAATTCCTCGTATACAGCAGCACCACTCAAGCATCACTCCACTCTGTAAGATTTTCCCCCAAATTATAAATTTAAAGTAAATTTTAGTGCTGCTGCATCTTGCAGCACCCTTCAGCCAACCTGGGCAGCAAAGCCACAGTGGCTAAAACAAACAAACAAAACCAAAAAGACAACAAAACCCCAAACACTGCATGAACTCCAGCTGGCTAATAGAAATACAGGCAGCAGCAGAGGAGAGGTTGTGAAGAGATCCCTGTGCCTGATCCCTGCAGGCAGCAGAGATGAGGATTTCCTCTGCTCTCCCCACCTGACATGACCTGAAAGCCAAAACGTGAGCTGCTCCTCTAAATCCCTGCACCACGGACCAGGCTGCTCCTGCTTTTCATCTCCGCTTTGCACCTCGTGGAAAACCACAGCTGAGTGTAACACCTGCACAGCAAACAGCCACAGCTTATCCCGTGTCACTCTCGATTTCCTTCTAAAAAAAGGAAAATCCCATTTGTTAACGGAGTAGCAGGTGTTTTGTAACACACAGCCTCCAAAAATAGGTGCTGGGTTACAGGTACCTCTGCTGATTCCCAAAGGATGAGGTGAGCTAGAGAATGTGGGATCTCTCAGCGAACCTAAGGAGTCATCCTGTCTAACAATACATTTAACTAAAAATAATCTAGTTCGAGCTTTTCCACTGCAGAGAGGAAAAAAAAAAAAAAAAAGGCAAGCAAAAAACCCCACAAGTGCAAAATTTCAGCTTGTTTATTTACAAGGGTACAAGTGATCCTTACATGTTTGGCACTATTTACATTTTTTCGCCTCGACTGCAATCCTTCTCAGGACGCTACTTACAAAGTTTACATCAGCACGCAGCCAAAAACAGAGCGGTTTTTTCCATGAGCTCCAGCAGCCAACTTTCCCACAACTTAACTAAACCCTCCTCCTACACAGGAAACCTCTGGGTGGGTAGGTAAGAGAAATTACCGCGGGTTTGTAATTAGGAATCTCCAAACCCACCACCTCGCCTTGCGCTCTGCAGCGCACGCACACACCTGTGGGGATGCGCGTAAGAGATGCTGAGACCCTCCCTCTCCCGGGACCTCCCCGCGCTGCCGGCGCGGGCTGCGCCTCTCGGAGGCACACTGTCACCTCGGAGGCGACACTGTCACCTCGGTGCTGTGCCCGCTCCCGCTCAGCCCGGCTCACCTCGCTCATGTCGCGACAGGGACGGTGACAGCGGCAGCGGCCCCGCGGCGCTCAGCGCTCCCGCCGCGCCCGCGACGCGCGTTAAGAAGCGGCGCCGCGCGCCCGGCCCGGCCCGCGCCGGCCAATCAGCGCCGCGCGCGCGCGGGCTCCACCCAATCCCCGCGCTCCCCGCGTCCCGAGAGCGCGCGGCGCCCCCTGGCGGCCCTCAGAGCCCTCACGGCCCGGAGCGCTCCCCGCGTCCTCCTCCTCATCCTCCTCCTTTCTTTCCCCCTCCTTTTCTTCCTCCTTTTCCTTCTTTTCTTCCTCCTTTTCCTCCTCCCCGTCCCCCCCGCACTTCCCCGAGTGGCTCGGCACCATGCGCGCCACTCTTGGGTGGCTTCTTGCGTCCCCACAGGGGAGAGATGCGAATTCCAGGTGTGCTGAAGGCAGCCTGGCAATGGGAAATTATTGCGGTGAATAAATTAGATGGGGAACGCTTTTGGCTTTTATACGGTGAGGCACTGGAACAGGTTGGCCAGGGAGGTTGTGGATGCCTCAAGCCTGGCTCTGTTCAAAGCCAGGTTGGAGTCTTGAGCAGCCTGGAGTGGTGGAAGGTGTCCCATGGCACAGGGGTTGGGGCCAGATGATCTTTAAGATCATTTTCTAACCCCTTAACCTTCTGCAATCTTATAAACCCGGCTGAGAATCACTGCTCTGCTCGCCTCTGGCTTTCCTCTCTGTCTCATCAGTCTTGCTGCCATTCCTGTTAAAATACACAGCATTTCTTCCACAGCTACACGGAAAAACAGCCCTTTCTATCATTTCTCTGAGTGGTTAATTAAAGCAAGACTTTGGGATGTGTGCTGTTGTGCTCCAGCATCCGTCTTTTGATGAAGCGCAATCGCTATATTTGGCAATACACACTCAGATTGTCTGACTCACGTATCCGTAAAGAAATATAGGTTCAATTAGCTCTGGGAATGCACTTAACTCCCTCAAATTTTTCTCAAATCAATAAAAAAGTTAAAGTATTATATTAGAGAGCCCAAGAAGCTTGACAAGCTCTCCCACTTCCAGGGACTACCTTGCAGTGGCTTCATCTCTTCGCCAACATCTGTCTTTGGGGCCAGCATTAATAGAGGCAGGGAAATAATTTTGATGAGAAACCACATTTTCCCTTGGAGCTGGAGGGGCTGGGCTCCTTCACCTGGGCATGAGGAGGCTCCACTGGCAGTGGAACCAGTGCTGTGTATCCTGGGAATATTTTAGGGATGCTGGCAAAATATGTAGGGATGGCATCAGGAAAGCTGAAGCTGAATTTAGTAAGGGATGTGAAAAATAATAAGGGCCTCTACAAGCGTGTCAGCAAGAAAAGGAGGAGAAAAGAAAATTAACCCTTCTGGGAAACAAAACAGGAAATCTTAGATACTGAAAACAATTTTTGCCTTTTTTATCATACCGCTATTCCCAGGACCTTCACCAGCCTCTGGCATTTTTTAAAATTAACATTAATTGTCCTGGTTTTTGTTGTGAGTGGCCCAAGTAGGCAACAAACGTGGTAAGAGTTCATTGCATGAGCAGCTTCAGGATCTGCCCTGTGAGGACCCAGAATAAAGATGGTGAATTTAGCCCCTGAAGAAGCTGTGTTTCATGTGACACCGTTTTCCAGTGAAGAGCAATTGTGGGTGTATTGCATTAGTATTCCTGTTCTGACAGGAGTGCCACTGGTCTGTCAGCTTATGGGTACAAGGCACAATGCTAATATAAATTATTAACAGAGTATTGCTGATCAAAGGGCTCCCAATCTCATGGGAAGAGACACAGACCTCTGAGAAGAAATCTGTTCAGGTCCCTTCGAGAGCAATCACGTCGGTCTCGCTCTCCACCATCAAAATAAATGTGTCAAATCCAAGCAGAAAATCTTCTGGTGTTAATGCAGGCAGCAGGTTAGGAGAGAAAGCTCTTTGCACTAAATGCTGCAGGAGAACATACAAAATTCTTATTTTCTGATCTGTTTGGAGGAGTTCACAGTTTCAAGAGAGGCACCCTGGAGGGCACGGTGAGCTGTGTCTAAGGTGGCACTCTGGAACAGTCCCCAGTCTGGTGCCTGTTCTAGGGGAACAATGCTGAGGTGACAGTGCCCTCCAAGCAGTGACTGCTCTGAGGACAACTTGCACATTTTGTGGCATGCAGACACAGTAAAAGGTGCATTATCTGCCCTCAGACAGGTTCTTGAGTGAGCACACAACTCCCCTCTCCCAGGCAAAGCCTTTGACCTGCAGAGATGCATCCGTTCTCACTCTCCCTCTAAATCTTATTCCTTGCCTTCCAGCTTTGCATGTCATACACTGCAGAAAATTTCCATAGCCAGCCAGAGCAATCCAGATACTAACTTTGGGTTGAAATGCTCTGTGCCTCTCCTACTTCTCAGTGTGGACCTGCTGAACTTCATTGTTCCTCAATTCACAAACACAGACACACAGATTCCTCCAAATGGTGGGACTAGCCATCTTAAATGGACAAATCCCAAGCTCTGGGAATGCAGCAGCAACCTGAGCTTTTCAAAAGGTTCTTACCACAAAGGTAACTCTAGTAGTTGTTTTATTATACCCTGCCATTTTTGCTGTCTGATGGCATCCTATTTTAGTTTTCAGGTGCCCCTTTCCCTGTCAGCCTTTCTAACCCATGGCACTCCCTCAATTTAAAGATGTCCCAAAGTTCTGCTTTTACTTAAGTGCACAGCTAAGTAGTAGCACTTCTAAGTAGAGAAAATATTCTAAGCAATCTATTTTCAAGAGCCATTATATTCTGAAAATTGACTATTAAAATACCACCTTCTTATTCATCAAGTCTGCACTCCGTGTGTTCAATCTTGTCTGCTGGCATATGACTGCAATTTTACTGCCTTTTACTCCCACTTACCTGAAAGATTCCGCAGAGAGAAGAGAATCTGAGCTGGGTGTTGGAACAGAAAGGCTCTCAGGTTTCCAAGGAGCTTCACCTGTTTTAAGGAGACTGAAAATGGCTCTTCTGTGCCAGACTGAGCAATCCATCATTGGAGAAGTGTGTGTTAAATTCCTGGAATGATTTGGGTTGGAAGGACATTAAAGATCACCTTGTTCCAAGCCCCTGCTGTGGGCAAGGAATCTTCCACTAGATCAGGTTGTTCAGAGCCCCAAAGAGCTTTCAGTTCCAGGGGTGGGGAGTCCACAACTCCTTGGGCAACTGTGCCTGGACCTCATCACCCTCACAGTGAAGAATTTCTTTCCAATATCCCACCCATTCCTGCCCTCTGTCAGTTTGAATCCATTCCCCCTTGTCCTGTCACCGTATGTGGAAAGTCCCTCTCCAGCTCTCTTGGAGCCCTCTGGAAGGGACTCTAAAATCTTTTCTTCAGGATGAACAGCCCCAGGTTTCTCAGCCTTTCCTCACAGGAGAGGTGTCCCTCTGGGGCTGTGTTTGTGCAAGGAGAGAGCTGATTTTGTGCTCAGTCTTTGTCACTGACAGTGACACACTGCTGCACAGTCTTGCTTGGCTTTCGATCCCACCACTGAATGTGTCTACAAAGTGAAGTGGTTTGATCAGAAGCACAGATTTGCTCTGGAAGAGACAGAATCACAGAATCCTTTAGCTGGAAAAGGCCTCCAAGACCATCAAGTCCCAGCTGTGTCAAATGCCCACGTTGTCACCCAGCCCAGAGCCCTGAGTGCCACATCCAGGTCTTCCTTGGACACCCCCAGGAATGGGGACTCCAGACCTCCCTGGGCAGCTCCTTCCAGGGTCTGACAATCCTTTCCAGGAAGAAAAGCCTCCTGATGTCCAACCTGAGCCTCCCCTGCCACAGCTCGAGGCCATTTCCTCTTATCCTGTCACTTGTCACCTGGGAGCAGAGTCTGACCCTCACCTGGCTCCAAACTCCCTTCAGGAGGTACCACGGACTGCAGGGGAAGATCTCTCCTCAGTCTGCTGTACTTTTCAGTCAAAATTTGATTCAAATAAAATCCAAAAACATCAAAATGAAAATATGGCTGTGCCTTGAACAGCATTCCATGTTCCATCAGAGCAGAACTGCTCTGCTTGGTAGAATATATTTGAATTTTGACTGTGACTGCAAAAACTGAAGTTTCCCATCATTTGAAATTGGTACAGTGAAGTGAAACCTCTACCTCTTGCTGGTTTTACACTATTAATTTCTAAAGAGAAGGAACGATTTTACACAAACTTTCTGAAAAAAAAAAAAGTCAATGTTGAAGGTGAAATTAAGGATGTTGATTTCAAATGGAAAGCTTTTGTTTCAGAAAGATGTGTGCTTTTGAATCCTAGAAAACAGGGGAGGACCTGTATCACAGCCTTAATCACAGAGACTATGCTGTGATGATAGCTTTGGTAGCAATAGATTTAACAAGCATAGCCTCAGATGCTGGATGATGGATGATTGGTCATCTCAGACATATCATCTAATTTGCCCAAGAAAAAAATCTAAAGAGACAGTTTCCACATCTGAACTCCCATTAGTATGCCTTCTTACCTTTTAATTAAGAAGCTAATGGCTGTGGGTAGTTAATCAACAAAATACCTTTAAAGATCTGGGCCTGAGGGCCTTTGTTACAACCTAACCTTTGTTCCCATGCAAGAGGAATGAGTCAATGGCTCCAACAGAATCTTATTGCTGTCGTTGTCACAAAGATATCAAATATAATTTGAAAAATTGAGTCTTTTCTCAGGAGAGTTACAAGACATGACTTACTGTACAGTGTGAGTCATCTTCCATCCTAAAAAAATACAGCCTAAAAACCAATCACCCAAATATATGTGTCAATTCTTCTGTCTGGCCGAAGAGTTTTGATGGATTTAATTCAGAACTGTGTCCTTAACTTGGACAGACTTGTTAGGAAAGCCATTCTCAGTTTAAGCCAAACCTGCTAAACTTTTGAAAGCCTGAAGAATGTTCTGGGGTTTGACTCCTTGACTGGCTCAGCTCTGCAGAGGATGGGAAGATGTGGAGCATTCAGATGTTACCTGGCGCTTACCTATGGCAGTTCCCCTCTTAATTAGAAAGTAAAAAGACATCATAATTACCAGTTAACAATTTTCAATCTCTGTACAGGCAAAGGAATTAATGTGATTTGG